GTACTAAAAAACCAGTACGTGATATGGTGCTACTGCATCTATCCTGTGGTCATGCAGAAGCGTCGAGATCTGTCCAGTGAAGACTTGTCATTCTGTGGAGAGTATATCGAGCGGCTTGATTAACGCCACGGGAGAATAGCAATTAACCCCGCGAATTGTGGATTGATAGCCCAAAATGATCAGATTCGTGTCCCCGTCGAAGAACCAAGCACAATGCTTGAATGTGCCACCCCATGCAATATCCTATATTCAGCTGCCCAGCCGCAGCCCAGCTGACAACAAATATGACAATTCTTACTCTTACATCATCCGCTATTCAATTTGTTCTCCCCGCCTTGTTCTCGGTCATCTCGCTTAAAGAACCAATCTATTGATTACCTGAGGTAGCCCTATCGCCTCTCCAGCACCTGGTTGCGCTTCTAACTGGAAAGAACTTTTCCTGAAAAAAATGTCCGCGCCGGCCAAGGAACCTGAAACTGAAGGCGTGGGATTCATCGAGGCCGATCAGGAAGAGAATAATCAAACAGCAGAGAGCGCCCAACTCGAGAGCTCTACCGCCTCCATAAACAGTAGCATCCTCCGTTACCGGGAGGAAAATGGCCGCACCTATCATGCATACAAAGACGGCAAGTACGTGTTGCCCAATGACCAATCTGAACAGGAGCGCCTCGACCTTCAGCATCACCTCAGCCTGCACACACTAGATAACAAGCTCTACATTTGCCCCGCAGGCCGTGATGGCGGGATCCCATTGCGCAACGTCCTCGATCTCGGCACCGGAACTGGCGCCTGGGCTCTCGATTTTGCCGATGAGAACCCTGAGACTCAAGTCTATGGCGTCGACTTGAGTCCTATCCAAGGCCCCTTTGTGCCGCCCAACGTCACCTTCCAGGTGGATGATGTTGAGGATCAGTGGACGTACAGCATCAAATTCGACTTTATTTACAGCCGCCACATGACATCTTCCATATCGGACTGGTCGCGCTACTTTGAGCAGTCCTATGCGAACTTGACACCTGGCGGCTACATGGAGATAATGGATATTGGTGCTGTGATGTGCGATGATGGTACTCTGAAGAAGGACGGGTTTCTATCCCGCTGGGTCGACCTCTTCATTGAAGGCACGAGCAAAATCGACAGATCTTTTCTAGGATACCAGACCTACTATGAGAAAATGGAAGCTGCCGGCTTCACCAATCTCAAAAAGGTTGTGTATAAATGGCCAACAAATCGATGGCCTAGAGACCCAAAGCACAAGGAACTCGGTAAGAACTGCCTCACATACCCTCTAGTGTGGTCAAGTACTTGCTCTGACTTATCCCTGTTGTTCTGGAATATTTTCTTTCGTGGAGAGGTTTTGATAGTGAGCAAAAGCTAATGGCTCGGACATAGGATCATGGTGTTACGAAAACATTAGCTCTGGCCTCCAAGGATTGAGCGCTGCTGTGTTCACCCGAATCTTAGGCTGGAGCCCAGAGGAGATGAACACGTTACTTGAAGGTGTCGAGCGGGAATTGAGGGATCCCAGTATTCACGCGTATTGGCCAATGTAAGTTAACATCCGATAAACCCTAAAGCTCCTTTGATTTTAGCTGGCTGACCTATGATATCTGTAGCACGGTGGTCTACGGTCAAAAACCTCGCGCGCCATAGGAAATTGTGTGTGTGTGTGTGTGTTATTCGGGGCAGAGAGGCAGAACTATGTGAGTCCTGTCATGGCGAGCGGAACCTGCAGCTAGTCTAGATACTGTAAAGCCTTTGGAATGACCTCGAAGTTCGAATTGGTCAGAATAGCAAGATCCAAAATGAGCGGGGTTTTATCTCCTCTAGTTCAGAAAGATTCTCCGTAGGGCTAAATATGAGACCCGGGCATGAGCTGGTGACGGGAAGCGGCTCAAGGGGCTAGAAAAAGTCATTTTGAGCTGTGAGCGACCGGTTCTAGTGACTGTCAAAGCTACTCACCGACTCCGCGGAGATGTGAACACGCCACCATGACACTACCAACGGTTCATAGATTCCTCACTGCATCTGGGTTATTCTTTTTATCTTTTTTGTTGGGGGTATGCACGTACAGTTTGAGCTGGATCTTAACGGTACTTGAGTTAAACAGGAAGTAGAGTTGGCGTCGTTCTGTCTGTTATCCTCCACTGGCTGAGGCTGATGGTACCTTCATCCATTGCCCTGTCGCTATTGTCTTATACTATATTCACCTACATCGTGGCAGGTGGATTCTGGAGTCATTTTCCAAAGCGTCATCTTGGCTCTTGGTTTACGCGTTCGCCAGGTCAGGCAGGCGTCCTCCTCAGCCGCTCAATCTCCCGAGTCCCGGCATAGTGTAAACAAGCATTTTTCGTGCCAAGAGGCGAAAGACGAACAAGATTCACGCGGACCCCCCTTAGATGCCTCGATTCGCCGTCGTAAACGGATGAAAACTGGACAAAAAATAGAGGCAATATGATCATCTTAGTGCTCGTCCTCGAAAAGATCAGCGATCCCAACTTTTCGACTACGTATTGAATTTTGATGCTTTATGTGATCTGCAGAGGCGTATTTTCTTTCAGTCAAGTGGTGACCTCAAAAAACCGCGAGGCTCCTCAGGATGGAGATTGATGACGAGGGACTGCATCAACTCCCAGGGGCCCCCTCCCTTCCTCTTACCTTGCATGTTTTCTCAGGGGCCATCATCCAGGTAGACGGTATCTCTACAGATGCGTAATGAGAAGCTTAATTCTTCATTAATTCATTTTAAGTTAGTGTGTTAGAACGCTCTTGGTTATGCTTGTGGCGAAATGGTGAAACTCTGATGCCATCTCTTCTCGGATGCTGCTGGTTCCGGATCTTAAATACCCTCCTAGTTTTAGCTAATCAGGCACCCCGGAAAAAAAGGAAAACACAAAAAAAAAAAACACGGAATTCACCTCACGCCTAAAATGGTCCCGTTCAAGTTGTAGACAAGCCCTTCGCGCTCAAGGAAATCTACTTCCTTTCACGAGAGATTACCCGCAGGGCACCTTCTATTATTATTTTGTGCCGCGGGGACATAACGGGAAATTTCAATAGGCATAGGTTTTTCAATTGGTTGATTGGGTTCCTAGTTGGCTCAATCATCGCCACATTCGTATTGGTGCTGCGCCAGATGGAGTTACTCCCACCCGATACTCTAGTCTCGAGACTTCCCATGGTTAGAGGCTTATTGGCTACCGTTCAATGAGTAACGGAATCTCCCAGATTCTTTCGTGCTAGTTGTTAGCTTAAATGAGAATGCAGCTCTGTAGCGCTGTCGATCCTGGGATCTTCATACCAAACACCATTCCAGTACCGTGCCCCAAGATCCTAATCGGAAAATCCGTTTCCTATTTGGAACATTTTGGACCAAAACTGAAGGCGTCAAGGCCCATAAAATAGCGAAGGTTTAGTTACTGGGGCATGGTCGCCCATATCCCCCCTTGCCCTCCTTCGAACCGGGATGGAACGCCTGTTGATCAGTACTGAATTCACCCATTTTATATCCTAATGATCTGATGCTAATGAGTCCATCTAGTCTCATCGTTATACAGCTTGGCCCTTGATACAATCTGAGCAGCTCGAAAGATAAGGCTCTCACCTAGAATAACAACAATCTCACTAAGCACCATTCTTGGACAAATAGCAGGAAGAGGGCTACCGCGAGGGTAATCCTATCTCTGCAAATTTTGATGTCATCTTTTTTAGTACGAAGAGGCAACTAATAAGGCTGAAGCGACAGTCGACTCATCGTCATTTCGTACAAAAGCAGCCCCTCCATCTAGGGCTCGTATAAAATCTCCGCGCCCCCTGGAAAAATGGGTTTAGGGAACTACGTCATCCCTTCGTTTAGGGTTGTGATCTCTGTGGCCCCTAAGTTTTATATGGTAAAATATGACAGACACGCTGATTGGAAGTTATGCAGAGGATAGGCTGAGTCTTGGCTGAACCAAGCCTAGTAGGGTTGGTAGGGCAGTCCTTCGCCACTCATCATTTCCGGGCTATTCTTAGCTTTGGCTTGCCTGTTGATCCAATTAGCGGCTAGTCTAATACCAATGTGATGGAACGGCTTCAGATATGACTTCATGTAGACATGTTGACTCTCACTGTAAGGACCACGGCAAGGTTGGACACCGAATACGATCATGTCCTCCTCATTAAATTCGCTCATACGTGAAAATTACCTCTTGCCAACAACCTTTGGGTAGCCTTGATAGATTATCTTGAGGTAAGTTCTATTTGCCCCTATATATGAAAATCTAGGTACGCAGTTACCCAGCTAACCATACTATCAAAGACCAGGAAGGGAGGTCTCGATGAGTGCATTTGATGAGTTTTGGTGAGATCAGCTGAGATTAGACTGCACTATCAGGTTATTATATCTCTTTAAATATTCGCGGTCATGCAAGAGAAAAGCATAGCGTCTGGTACAAGCCACTTCTCCACACTAGAACATGGCATCAAGCTTGAAAATGCAACATCTTAAAAACTCGTCAAAGAGAGCATACTTAGTTACTTAATTAGACTTTTTCTTGATTTCCAGTCCCATTAAACATGTAAAAAGGCGTTCTTTCGCGCTATTGATCTTTTGGGAAGTTTGCTGTGCGATAATGTAAACGGGGTGATGACATGCCGGTGATGTTGGTGGCTCTCATAATTCGTTGATAGAAATGGCCACATCACCAAACATTGGCGCCTCTTGTGAAATGAACGGCAAGGATAGCATGGCAAGAAACTTCGGGCGTTTCTCTAATCATGGGTCAATGATGAATTCGAGTCTCTCACAAGGCATCAACGACATCACTGAACCGAGTGTTTGCTCGATGTGGGCTTCTTAGAGACTCTCAGACATCTATAAATTCATCCGACTCTCCCTTCAGTTTCCTTTCAATCTCAGAGCATCACAAACTCATTGAACAACATCAGATCCAACTACTACAGACTCAATTTGAAACTCATCAATTAACTCTACAAACCTACTCTACCCATCCATCAAAATGAAGTTCTCCCTCGCTGCTAGCACTCTTGGCCTTGCTGCCCTCGCTCTTGCTGCTCCAGCCGACGTTGAGGGCCGCAGTTGGGGGGGTAGCAGCTCACCGCCACCCAGCGGCAACAATCAAAACTGCGGAAATTCTCAACAGGCAGTCTGCTGTGACGGTAAAAACAACTGCTACGTCGCCCAGGCTGGTGGAAAAGAAAACTCCGGCAGCGTCAGCTGCGCCAACAGCCAGAGCGCCACCATCAAGTGCTGCCAGACTAACTCTTCTCCCGTAAGTGTGCCCATTAACCCGAACTCAGATACCCCTGGAAATGGAACTGAATGCTTACGAATAACTAGGGCTCACTTATCAATGTCGACCTCCTCAACTGTAATGAGATTCCCGTCGATATTCTGGGCGGGGGTATCTTATCCTAGATATTCAGGACTCATTGGATATCCATGACTCGACTAATTGAGGGCGACGATTTTGATTTCTACTTGCATGCTGATGCTGACCTGGACGGTTGAGGGGAGATCCAGACTGTTGATTCGGATAAAAATGTATGAATAGGATTTGGTGCTGGGTCAACCTTGCCGCTCAGCATGCTGCCGCTCATTTGGGACACGGGGGATCAAACGTTGTACGATATTTAGCTGACCTACATACCATCTCTAGCCCTCAAAAAAGTCAACCTTGTTTCTATAACTTTTTTCCTCCTCCATTTTATGTTTGTGAACAAATGTTACCTGAATAATTACATCATGTTTAAGCGTCATTTTTTATCCAGGCCTAGATATATACCGACCATTTATCCTCTATACAATAATCTAACTCTTTGCCTCGAGAAGGCATGGCCCTAATCTCGGCCTGATAAGATCCTCGTCGTCGATAGAATTACTGCTTACGAGTAGGGGAGTTAATATGCTTCACCTCTCCTTCACCGGCTTAGCTATTGCAATCAAGCCCTTAACGGGTTAGGGTCGTGAAATTGGCTGCTTGTTTTCCCAACGCGGTATCAGTTGCTCCTTAAATATGCCTGTTGATCAAATTCTACCCAATAGGCTATAGATATAATCACCACTCACGCAGCTCGCCTCCGGGACCTACAAACCCAGGGCTCACCCAAGCCTCGGCACCTTTACTCAGCTCGCGGATCCTTTCCTCATCTATCTCGATGCCCAAGCCAGGCCCCTTCATGAGTGGGATATAGCCGTCCTTGACATCCCAAATCTCAGGGTTCTTGATATACGTCAAGAGGTCATGCCCCCCCGTATTGTAATGAATTCCAAGGCTCATTTCCTGGATAGCAAAATTAGCCGTCACTGCGTCCACCTGGATGTTAGCGGCCAGTGCAATGGGCCCGAGAGGGCAGTGAGGTGCGATGGGCACATCGTACGCCTCCGCCATAGTTGCAATCCTTCGAAGTTCCGAGATGCCTCCTACGTGAGAGATATCCGGCTGGATGATGTCCACGCAAGCGGCTTCAAGGAATGGTTTGAAATCCCAGCGACTGTGGAGACGCTCTCCCAACGCAACAGGGCAGCTCACTGAGCGTGAGAACTCCTTAATCCCCTCGATGTGCTCCGATAGAAGGGGCTCTTCGATGAACATTGGACGGTGCGGTGCTAGGAGAGTGGCCAGCTGCTTGGCCATCGGCCGGTGGACACGACCGTGAAAATCTACTCCGGCGTCCATGCCCGTCGATTTAACTGTCCGTACCCGTTCAACGCAAGCGTCGAGAGCGGAAGGTGAATCAAGCCAGCCAAGATCCTCCGTCCCGTTCATCTTAACTGCAGTAAATCCCTGTGCCTTTCGAGAGAGCCTGGAAAGCAGTTAGTCTATCCAGAACACCCAAGGAGGAGGTTGGGCTGTGACCTACGCTTGGGTCATGACATCAGAAGGTCTGTCACCTCCAATCCACGCATAGACCTTGATGGTATCCCTGACCTTGCCGCCTAAGAGTTCATAGATGGGAAGCCCAATTTTCCTCGCTATCATTCATTGTCAGTGCATGTGTCTGATAGCCCTGAGATATGACTGCAGCGGCATTGTTCCTACATACCTTTGAGATCCCAAAGCGCGATGTCGATACCTGCGAGCGCGCTCATGAAGACAGGGCCGCCACGGTAAAACCCCATTCGCCATGACTTTTGCCAGATTTGCTCGATTTCACTGTCACATGTTAGATTTGTTCATATTACCCCTCTCGTTGCCACTCCATTGGATCCATCCTACTCTGCTTCCATTCCCGTGTATTGAGAAATCCAAGCATCCAGACACCCTTCCACGGCCTGGGTATGACCTTCAAGAGATGCTGTATATTAAATTAGCTCAGTATTCTTCGTTCTGGCATGATCATCATTTACCTTCTCCCCACCCCACATTGCCCGCATCGTCAGTGATCTTGACAAACAGCCATCTCGGCGGGACACGAAAGTACTCGATTTGTGCAATTTTCCCCATATTCTCTATGCTGATACAATTGGCTTTTTGGCTGTGATAACAAGAGTCTCAAGTGAAGGCTGTTGCAGAACCCCGCGGTCGTAAAATTAGGCGTGATGGAATAAATGAAGTTGGCCGATGCCGGGTAATACCAATTATATGGCGGATTTGTCTCGGCGGTTAAGCCGAGGCCAAATATCGGATTGACTGCGATCTGGTTCTTGGCTAATTATTGCCAAGCAGGCACAGTGATTCCAATTTGTTATGTCCCTGCTTTTCGGAATATTATCTGATCCGACATATAAGCCACCATTTGCCTTGATGGTTTGTATTTCGCACCGGTCGGTATCCGGGCGGCGTCGGTGCGAAAGAACGTCAAGGATAAATATCCGGCGATCCACTCGGTTCGGCTCAAGGTGAAGTGAAGACATCTACAACATGCATAAAAAAAATGCTGGAGTTTCAGGCATCCACTATTCTATGAAATCAATCTCAACTTGTGATTAAAGTAGCCTGTAAAGTGAAATGATTAATTGAACATTGTGTTTGGGGTTGCTGTCCGGCAACTGGGATCTATTAATATTGCATAGGAATCTGCTGCAAATGCTAATGCAAAACATATTTGGAGACTTGATTCCCTCTAAATAATATATAAAGGGACCTTTGATGCAAAAGTTAGCTCAGAATATTTCTAGAGCCAACTCTATATCAATAGAGAAACGAAGTAAGTTGGCAAAGGTGAGCGGACAACGCGAGCATCTTTTGCTGAACTCCTTGAACTCTCTCTAGCCAGGTCTCCTTGATCCCCCGATTTACCGAATTTATTGCGCATGAACCACATCGGTCGGTCGTTCTCGTAAGCCTTGAGCGCCTTCGTACAACGACGAAAGAAAGATCGAGAGTGGTTCTAGGGCCCATCATCAAGCGAGCGCAAATGCTCAGATTCTACCTAATTATATATGGAACTACATAAACTAGACATGCATGGTATTCTGTGCCAACTGCGAATGAATATGGTTTACAATTGACTACTCATAAACACAAAGCAAGCGCTCCGGAGATGGGATCTTCTACACTCACGCTGACCGTGCCGCCTGTGCTGTGCCTTCTTCGGCAGCATAAGATCTTGCCCCTGGTGTCGCCCGCGTTGCTACCTAGCATCGGGCGCGTTCAGCAGGAGCCCCGTGAGTTCTATGCCCGCGAGCTGGCAATCGCTTATCCTTATGCCGATGGCGGCGTCAAGACCATCCCCAGCACTCGAGCCGCAGGGGACGATCCTGTCTATATCAATGTTGAAGGCTTCGTCTGTGTTTACAAAAACCTAGCCCAGCCCCGCGTAGCGCTCTGTGGTGGCGGGTGCTGTCCTCCATCTTGAAATGGGCACTTCCATGAGGCAACCATGATCGGATGTTACAATTTAGCTTGATTGGTTAATAAAAAATAACATTGGGGGCTTACATTGGAGGCCAACATGGAGATTCCACTCTGCTGATGTTGGTTCACTGCATGCATATTGCGAGAGGATACTGCCGTTGTGTAAAAATAATTGGTTGTGTAGAAAACGGCCATTCATTCCTTCCTTTTTTTTTTTTTTTTTTTTTTTTTTTTTTTTTTGAGCAGCGAATCCTTTGTTCAGAGTCACGACTTGGCCGGCAGGCCCCAAGCGATGCAATGCTACATATGTAGGTTATTATACACGATATTTGGCTTCAATGTGAATCACGCCATGTCATGTCATTAGGAGGAATTATGATGGGGCGCGACTACAAGCTAATGAACACTCCAGCCAACAGCCAACAACTAACGACCAACAACCAATAGATTCGACAGATTCATCACATAGCCAGAAAAAGAAATTGCCAAGCCGAGCTTCACAATAGCAATGGAAACAGTATCTTCTCCCGCCTACATATTATCTACAAACCAAATCAAACAATCAATTCTATTCATCTCTTTCAATTTTTCACACTATACATTTCAAATCAACCACTTCCATGTTACCATCATGCGCCTCAAACTTGGCTAGGTGACAATCTATTAGTAATTCGGAACCAACAGCAGATAAATATCCGAAAGTACCTAGATGCCTTGCATGGAGTGAATTGTCTGCCTTCCGTTGGTACTTGTGGCTGTGCTGCACTCCAATTGTGGATATAAATATTCTGTTGGCTTACTGTTCAATTCCTTGCTGCTTTCCCTCATTCATCTTCCTTCTATCCATCCTTGTCAACAACACCATTCTTTCAACGCAATGGAAAACGCAAGCCAAAAGCTTCCCCAACTGGTTGCTAGCGGGATAATGCTAATGGTCTATGCGTCATTGAGCAGTGCTCTGCTAGTCTTGATTATTCTTATAGACTTAAGGGGCATTGTATCATGGACAACCATTTACTATACTCTTGCTGCTGTAAGTATTTGATTTAATGTAAAACTTCTTAAGATTTATAATTTTAATAAAAGAATTTAGTCTTTTTCCTCTTTTTTTCTTGTAGTTATCAGCTATATCCAAGTTCATACCTTGCGGTCTGAGACTGAGACTGAGAAACCTTCATTGACAGCACTCTCTCTGACCTTTCTTTTGGATTTATTTAATTTAATTGGGGGGTGGATAGCATCTGGTCTGATACTTACATCACACTTCTGGCCCACTGATATGCTGACCCCTTACAAAATCTTTTTCGCTTGGTCGCAAGCATATGTGTAAGAAATTATACCTATTTGATAGATTCTTGGCGGTTAAGCTAATGTTATGTGATATTTACAGGTGGTTCAGTCTTGTAATTAATATAATAAGGGAGTATAATGTGATTAAGGAGCAGAAGAAAAAGCGGAAGGCTTTGCGTGAGGCCGAAGAGAATGCTTTGCGTAAGGCGGAGGGGGAAGATCCGCACGAGGCCAAGAAGGAAGAGCCGGACGAGGCCGAGAAGAAAGACCCGCACGAGGCCGAGGAGCTTGGCGAGAAGAACTCCATTGCAGGGCCAGTATCGCGTTTCTGTAAGTCATCTTCAAATCTTTTACGTCTGCTTTTTTGACAAGCTAATGGCTACGTCACTCTACCCTCCACCCTGTGAGACAGCATCTAATCAAACGACAGAGCCGTTTGCAGGTTTGGCTGCAGAAGTCTTATGTTCACATACGCACGAGTACGGGTTTGGGGGGAGGGCGAAACCTGGCGGTCGCAGGATCTATAGGTTGAGTTGTCATCCCATCCCGAAGGAGGCTGGCCTTTGCACAAGATATTCTCGCACTGTTTCCGCAAGCCTACATACATGATCTCAGCGGCTCATGAAGCATATGTAGGCCATGAATAACCCGGCGAGCTTCTGTGCGACCTCCCAATCTGCAACCGAAGGATGGGCCCAGCAGCAGAAATAAGACATGGCGGGTCAAATTCTGATGTGTGGGCGGCTCACTGAGTGTTGTTCGGCGAAAATTACCGTTCGGCGTTATGCTCAGAGGCGGGTTTGTTCGTGATGAACAACTGAAGGGCAGATACAGGGTGTAACATTTGGCAGAGGAAACTGTGTGATGAGTTCGGAGTGACGATCCCACTCCTACGTAGGGTTCCTGTCCTTTCCAGCTGCACTTGAAGGCAACTCTGCGCACGCATCGAGCGATTGCCAGGGTTGAGGAGAGTAGCTGCAGGAAGGGGAGCGGGGAACCTGTATCTACCTCCTGTATGGTTAGCTGAGGACGAAGCGATTCAGTTACTTGACGCCTAATTGATTCATCCACGAGCAAGATGATAAGACCAAAATCCAATGCATGCACAGGAAGCCGACGCTGTTTGTGATGGTGAAATCTGTGGTTCAACACCTCTCAGCTCCCAGAGAAGCGACTCTTAAACCACGAGGACTGGGCTTGACGACGATAGCATCAAACTTCATCCGCCGCGATACCAGCGAACCGATTATTATAATCAGCCCTCCGGGGTAGAGACAATAAATGCACAGGCGCTTTGCTCTTGTGTTCCTGTGCCCACCAAGCGTAATGGGAACAAGACTGGGGGTATCTCATCTCCGCCAATTCTACTGGCCGCGCGTTCCTCTCGAGTAAAGACGTCTCATCGCCCAGGGGTGTCTTCTACGGTGGGCACCAGTTTCATCTGCGCCCAGATCTCGGGGAGGATCTTCCGGGACAGCGTGGGAGGAGGGAGTCTCCGGCTAGAGCCAACCCCAGCTCAATGCCTATCTCAGGCCAAATGGTTGCCATTTTTGGGAAGGCAATCATAGGGCTTCAGCTGGTGTCAAAAGAGGAAGCTGAGTAATACATGCAATATGTCTGAGACACGGGCGCCAAAGTAAGGAGACAGCGCGGTAATCTGGTGTGGTCTTCTCACGAGACGGTAGTTTTTTTTGTCCTCCCACCTTCCCCCCGATTTAAATTGACATCAGGCTGTGAAAGTATAGCCGCACCTTAATCATCTACTTGAGTGTGTATATAATGGGCGAATCGCGAAGCGGGGCCAAACGAGCGATGTGATATATGGAGTAAGGATAGTTGAATCCTTGCAACATGGGAAAGACAAGCGGAAAGGGCTGACGAGGATAAGGGACCTGCGGCAATTGCCATGAATCAAGCTTCTTATCTAATTCTTGGCCTCGGATGCTGAGATCGCCAAGCGAACAGGCCCATTTAGGACAGTGCCGGATCCTACGTCGGCTATTGCTGAACCAGAGAAACTTGCGATTTCACGGTCTTACTACCATTATGTCGCACACAGGCAGACAGAATGACAAGTCACCTACCATTCACCATCCCTGGCCTGGGGACGTAAATGAAAGGGCGGCTGCTGCAGGCTTTCCTTTCTTACGTCTCACCCAATCCGGACGATGCTGCGAGGAGGATCCAAATGATCCACCCCAAAGGTCAGTTGATATTAATATGTGGCTGCATCCTCAAACAGTTGAAACCAATCAGGCCGCTTGATCACATGGAGGATTCTTCTTGCATGGCCCCCGAGACTCTCCGTAGCCCATCATCCGGGATCCCCTCTCCCGATGCGCCAGAATTCCTCGTCACACACTTAGTCAGATGGAACTCATATGGCGCCCTAGCCCATTACCGGTGGGATACATGATGTTACATGGCAGCGCCAAATCGTTTATTGCCACATGGAAAACATGAGACTCATCCTTTTTCTTCCCAATCCCTCTTAAACCAAGGACTGGACGCGGCCTCGCATTTGACATCCAGTGCAAGTTGTCCGACTAGTTGCATGTGGGAGCTGGCCAGCCAATGGATGCCTTGACGTGAATCCCCAGCATGCCGATTTGAGACACTTTCGGCACGACACTGCCCCTCGACCTACTACCCAAGATTTTAGTGGCGTGAAGTAGGACACCCACCTTCGACTTTCGTGTCCCCCGTCGCTTAAAATGTCCGCCTTCATTGATGGAGTATTGGTACATATGGAGGCCCCGGAGGGCTACCACGTCGATTTCGAGAACCCGGTGCGCCGTAGAGTACCCGACATCTACTATCTGAGCGGAGTGGCATGTCTGCTATCGCTTCTCAGCATGCTGCAGCGCTTCTACACCAAAGCGGTATTAGAAAAAAAGATACAGGCGGATGATTGTGAGCACCCTCCCGCCGCCCTTGCTGCAATACCTAGTGGAGGTAGCCAATTGACGAATGACGAATTCAGAGACTGACAATCGTGATCGCAGATCTCTTGATATTCGCGTATCTCAGCGCTTTAGCAACGATAGGCCTGACCCTCCTCACCTTTGTCCAAACATTCGCCGGCGTTCATGCATGGGAGATCTCTGAATTCAACTACTGCTCGTTGCTGGTGGTATGCCTTGCAAGACATCTTAGCACCAAAGAGTCAAATAGGCTGACGCGAGGATAGTACACATATATATCGTGGGCCGTCTATATCATCTGCGGATCCCTGGCAAAGTTATCACTTCTCGCCTTCTATCTCCGTCTGAGCCCCCAGCGATGGTTCTATGTTGCAACGTGGACTACTATCGGATTTGTCATCGCGTATACGATAGCCCTACTGCCTACGATGCTTATGGGATGCAAGTTTGTTGATGGAAGATTGGGCGGAGAGGATAAGATCACATGTCCCGCCGTAAGCATGGCTAATGCGATTCTGAACATTGTCTCCGACGTGATTCTGTTTGTTCTGCCGGTGCCAATGGTTCTCAAGCTGCAAGTTAGGAGACTTCAAAAGTTTGGGCTGTTGTTGATCTTCGGAGTTGGCTCCTTGTAAGTCCCCCCTGCTTGTTATAAGTCCTACAAACCGTGGTCTAATACTTTTGCTCATTACAGGACCATCGTCACATCAATTGTTAGAGCTGTTGTGCTCCGTGCTATGATGCATTCGACTGATCAAAGCTGGGAAGTCACCAATGTCTCCATCTGTATCGTTATCGAAGCCAACTTATTCGTAATGTGCGCTGCCTTACCCACACTACGAAAGTTCTTCCAGCACACAACGCCCAAGTACATCTTGGACAGTTTGTACGGCAGCTCAAAATCAAAATCGACAAATCAGGGCGGCTCTTCACAGCGGCCAACGCTGGTTACTATTGGGGGAGGAACGGACAACAAACAGCGACCGCGTTCGTACCCCACGGGTATGTCGATACCATCTGAGACGGGCAGTAGCTCTGAGATTCTGCCTATTCAGGACTTTTCGGCTAGAACGAGCACTACAACGAGAGACGGAGGTGATATGATAACACCCCTGCCTGATGATATACCATTGCAGCATCGAAGTTATGGAGTCGGTGTCGCTAAATGAGAAAGTGCCTGGTTTTCATATATCACGTAATTTTCTATGTAAATGCTTACTATACCCATTGTTATTATTTCTTTCTCACGGAATCGCGGCGCAGATGCTTGGTAACCACTGATAACACATGTAGTAAATGGCTAGACTTTCTTTGCTAAATTGACCTCATATTACTCCATTAGCCCTATCAAAATCTGCTTTGAGAAAGCCTTTGCCCTAGATGTGGTCACCCTTGTTGGGCACTTATGCCGGCGTTGTCGAGCGAGATCAACTCTGGCAAGGCACCTGCTATCCGAGGAGAGTGTAAAACTCAAACCTTGCGTAATGAACTAACTACGCCCGTGTAATTGAGTCTTCAACATTTGTAAGCTGTGTCATCCAAGGTGTGGTGTGGGTAGTAAACCTGGACACGGGCATATGACATAACCCCCCGAAGACAAGCTCCCGCGCTTGCGGAGGTCGAGACAACCAGAATGATATAAATATCAAATCAGCAATCGATTTCTCTTTTGTTCTTTCCCAATTCTTGTCATGATTGATTGTTGTTATTTTCACCAAAGTTAGTTATTTGGAACTCATTGATAAGGCCATTCCACCTTCAACTTGCACATAAAGGAGCTCAGCATGGCGGAGAAAGGAACCATACTCGTCACCGGAGTGAACGGGTATATTGCTGCGCGAACTGCTGAAGCTCTTCTCAAAGCTGGCTACCGCGTTCGGGGCACCGCTCGCTCGTTTCAATCCGCCGAAGCAACACGCGCTGCGCTGTCAGATTACTCATCCCACTTTGATGTTGTTGAAGTCTCGGATATCACTTCTCCCAGCGCGTTCGATGAAGCGGTCAAAGGCGTCACTGGAATTGCGCAGCTTGCATCCCCTGTCTCTCTTTCGTTCACCAAGGCTGAGCCCGTCATAAACACAGCCAAAGCTGTTGTCCGAGGTGTTCTTGAATCCGCTATCAAGGAGCCTTCTGTTAAAACTGTTGTCCTCATGTCCTCGAATGCTGCCATCAGATCGAAGAAGGATGGATCATACACATTTACCGAGAAAGACTGGAATCACCAAGCGGAGGAAATGGTCCAGAAGCTTGGAGACAACACGCCAGGTCCTGTCATTTACGGGGCGAGTAAGGCCGCCTCCGAAAAGGAGTTTTGGAAATTTAAAGAAGAGCGCAAGCCCACGTTCACAATGGCCTCCATCAATCCATCATTTGTTCATGGCCCTCCTCTAGTTATCCCGAGCTCCCCGGTTCGGGTTTCTGGAACTGCTGGGTTTATCTTTGCAATCCTAGCTGGGCTTGATGTTCCGGCAGCCATGGCCAATCCTTGGTGGGTCGACGTACGTGACGTGGCTCGCCTCGTCACCTTTTGCTTGGACAATCCAACTATCACAGACGGAGAACGCTATCTCCTGATAGCTGCGTATGGACCCCAACAAGCCGCGACTGACATCTTGCGGAAAGCGTACCCTCAAGGCAAGGTCAAAGAAGGCAACCCCGGTGAAGGATATCTGCCGGGATACAAAAGCCCAGGAGACCAGCAGTTTGATTCCTCTAAAGCGGTTAAAACCACCGGCATAGAGTACATTCCATACGAACAGTCCGTGTTGGATACCGCGAAATCGTTTGAGCCTTTACTCTAACAAGGCCTCTTTTCTTTTTTCAGATACAGTGAATATACTTGCCCATTCAGATAGTAGAATTCTCAGACTATATCTAGGATGTCCTTTAATTCGGGCCACGCAACAATGCGTATATGAATCTAGAATGTTGATAAGTAACATGGCTATCGAAGTGTTGTGCGTACCCTAGGGTCAAGCATTAATTTCAAGACCAGTTGAGAAGTAAAAAAGAACCGAATTCTCACATCTGGATGCAAAGCCTCAATTGGCTCCTTCTTGTGGACCGGGAATTGGAAAATTTGCGCAATCCATGGCATTTGAAATAATGCCACCAATTCCGGTCATCGCTCTGTTCCAGAAATTCGACCTCGATGTGCCGTCGATTTCTTTTCTTTTCTACTCATAATTTACTCACTACCTTAGCAAGAGATGTGCATTCTTCACTTCCCCAAATTCAAAATACGTGTTATGCTCCCCAAAAGCCCCCAAATCAGGCACCTTGCGGTTGGCCAGGGTTATGTAAATTGACGGTCCTTGGCGGAGGCTCACTGAATGTGTTGAAGCAGGAATCAGTTAGAGCGACGCTTTCCACAACCAGCTTGTTGATGCGGGAAGTTTGATAGCTTCGGGTGATTGTCCGTTAAATACCCTTCCATGTAATTACCTATTGAATGCATATTAAGTTCTTGAAAATGAAGGCATCTCCTCATTCTATGTTAGACATCTCCAATTTTGTGCTGGACATCATCAGCTGATTAATATATCAGCTATCCACAACCCAACCGAACTCAGATGCTAGGCTATGGTTCGAGGAAGCGGGCGCTCGCTCCCGGACACTTCATTGTGTGGTGTGCTGGCGCAATGGTAGCGCGTAAGCCTCCTAAGCTTAAGGTTCTGGGTTCGAGTCCCAGGTACATCGACAGCACTTCCTGATCGCTTTTTTTTATTTCTTTTTACGATACTCATTCAAAGAGTGGTACCCTCAAGAACATGCTCTAGAGCAACTCCTAGGTGCGAAGGGGGAGCGAAAAAGTCTGTTTCATGTAGTTCGCCCCGTTTCCATTGCCAGCGCGCATCTGCCTAGAGTTGCTGGCAACTTTCCATGAGAGCGTTTTCTCGTGTTTCTGAATTACAGATATTTCTTGAGTGCGAGCAATGTGTACAGACTTTGGTCTTTTTGGATGTCACGGGATCTGGGTGCAAGGTCACTGCGTATTTTGTGATGGTTTGAGCTCCGGGGGTGTGATCAAGAACCCAGTCCCACAGATATCATCCTCTACTAGAGCCTAAAGGAAGATCTAAGGATATGTCATACATCATCGAATGCGATCGATACTTACCTACCCTAGTGATAAAGCCAGTTTGCCAAAGTATATTCTGCCACCGCTATTGTTGCATCAAGTGACAGATCAGTGAATTATGCTGATACTGTAGAGGTGTCCTAGCATGCGGCGAATATATGTTACCTCTAAGGTGTGATAAGAAAAACTAGAGTGATGGTTTCGCCGGTAATGGCAGGGGTGGCTTAACAACAGTCAAAAGCGTGTGTTGAAGGGCTTCCTAAGCAGTTTCCCATAATGCATCCAATAATTATTGGACATAAGCTTAGCCATTATCCATCACAGTAGCCCGGTATCTTCCCTTGCTTGTCTCATTGGCGCCAAGCATCCTTCTACATTGCTCTGAATCTTCTCATTCCCACAATTTGACAATTCCTCGAGACGCTGGATCCAGAAGTCCCATCGTTCAATGCTATACCCAAATGAAGGAATACCACCGGCTTGAGTAGCCAGTTCACCAATCTTAGATAAGTGTGGATAATCTTCAGGATTAATACTGGAAGAAGGGTCTCTGATGTGTCTGTTAGCAAGAACAGCGAGACCAAAAATGGAATTCTGAGCCAATTCCTCGAGGGCGCCAGTCAGATCTTCCAGTGATACTTGATCAGCATCCTCATCTGCCACCAGTGGTCGAGAGACCTCCAATGTTTCCCTAAATAACGAAAGTGTGCAGAGATCAGATCCCTCATAGATACCGACGGAAACTAATCGACCAAGAAAACCCGCCATGTTCGCACGCTGGTCTTCATCATAATAGCTTTTCTGGTAGTAGCGACTGGTAAACTCCTCAATAAGATCTGAATCCAATAGAGGTAAGCCAGACCAAATCGAATAGCTTTCCAAAGAAGAATTAGGAACACCGTCGACATTACTGCCATCGCCATCACCCGAGTCGGAAATGGGACCTGGCTGTCGTAGAGGTCCAAGCGCTTTAGCAGCCAGTAGGGGACGGAGGAGGATATCCTGCTTTTCCTCACCAGAGGTGATATTCTTGGCTGCCTGAATGCATGTATACCACAAATCATGAAGGCCCATCTCAAGGTCAGTCAAATTAGATGGCGTGGTGGTGTAATGGCCGGTGATTGATTGGATAGCGCTCAGGAAAGTAAATCGAAGATACTCTTCTTCGCCTCTTAGGACCATGTCATCGATTCCAGCTCTAAGCTGCCTGGAATAAGAAGATAAAGAGTCTGGGCTTGAACCCAAAGTGGAGGAATCCATCTCAACTATTGAATTCTGAATATGTTTAGAAGTGAGAAGGATGAGACGGGATGCGGGGTGCCGGCTGGTGATGGTATGACGATGGATAATACCGCACTTCTCAATGTTACTTCTTGTACCTTTGGCAAAGCTCTTGCAGTACGATTTATGCTGCATCCATGTACCCGAAAATATGCACGCGTACTTAAGTATACTTATATACCTATTACCGGTCTGTAGGTATGGTTGCTAAATATAGTTATCTATTGAACGAGCTATAGATAGATCAAGTGCTTTTTTCAACATATCATGTTCTGTACCATCTTCCTGATGTTTATTAGTATTATGGACGCAATATTATGTGGTAAGTTAGGATTAGGGATTATGCAACCCTGGGCTTACCAACACAAGGTAACAATAGCCCTTCACACAGTGAAGCAACTGGAAGGTGGCGCCACCAACATTGCATTAATAAGTCAATCAAAAATAATACATGCACAGGAATGATACCTATGAGCGCTTTTAGCCATCCCACCAGGATGTATTCTTACCCATGCTTATATAGTTGGGGGGCCGGCAGTCTAGGTACATCTTCCCAAGAGCTGAAGCAGAAGAGAGGTATGCTCATGACTTTGTCGCCGTAAATTCCGAGAGTTTCTAACATGAGGTGAGATAGAAAGTGATCCCTCTTTAGGGCAATACGAATTTGAACTTATTCAGATAGGTTGAGAAAGAGATTTCTTGCAATTCTTGTAACTGGGCTTCTTGGTACCACGACGGCCCTTGTATTGCCACCGGATCAAAATCCCAACCATGGAATTTTCACTGGGGTATGTCAATAATCTCTAGCTCTACTCGAACATACCTAGTCAGCGGCATCTCTAGCAGACGGCTTGTATAATATGATTTTGGGATGGAGAGCTCACTAACGAGTTGAACATTTAGACATGCCACAGAGTCACCAATACCTGCCGGTTCAACTATTGGGTCAATAAAGGCCCAAAAAGGAGAAAGGATGGGACAGTGGTGCGCAGTTGGCAATCGGTTCCTCATAGGCCTGTGAAATGCTGGCCTCCAAAACAGGTAAGTAGGAATCGAATCCATTGGAATCTGTTTGCTCAGGGCTCGAAGTTCTTCGAGAAAGATTGACCATCAAACCTAATATGGGCATAATGTAGTGCAGTAGAATTGGAAGATATTGTAACTACGGCTGGGACACAAAGAAATCTTACTGTACGTAGCTCATTTTCTCCATGATTGGATATACGGCACTGGAGGAACCTGGAGAGTTGGCGCTTCCCCCGGTTATAATCGGCAAAAATCAAGGTTTTGTCTCCTGTTGATTAGCAAGACGGCTTCACGTATCACCGAGGGGAAGGGGAAAGTTTAAAACTGACCTGTTAGTCATGAACTTTGCCCCGAATCATGTGAGAAACCAGAAGGTTGACAGTTTCCAGGGTTTGAGGTATAAATTGCGTCGGGTCGTCTTGCTTCAGAAGACAAATCAAGATGTTACAATGTGCGCTGAAATTTGGGTCACGCTCTCCTGGGTACGTCTTGAGGTGAGTTTCCCTCTTAAATGCTTCAAGAAGGCTCTCAACACCAGACTTGACGCAGAGAATGCGCAAGGTTGTGATTCCTTTCGCAGTGTCATCCTCATCGGCAAAACAACCATGACCTTAAATAGTTACTATGGAAATAACCCTTAATTTCTGGCTGATTTTGCTCATATAATAAAAGACCTAGAGAACCCTCCACTATAAGCTACTGAGTTAAGTCTTAGCTGCATATAGTAGGTGGTTAAGAGAAATGTAGTAGAAAAGAAACCTAGTTCAAATAATCAACCAACTGCTAATCCCGAATTGCAATATATTTGACCTGGCTTTCATATTAAATGATTCAACAGCGAGCTTTCTGCTCGTCCTCTGCAACTTCTCTCGCCATCAGGTTATCTAGGATCATGACTTCAATCTCCAGCTGTGAAAGGCCCTCTTCCGTCACCGCTTGGTTGTTGTCCTCATCTTGTACGTCTATATCCATAGAGTCCTCGTCTACCTTTGTCAAATCACGTTGGCGTGGATACGGCATCCCGCCAAAGCTCTCCCGCGATGCGCGTAGTATCACCTGATGGTGTTTTTTACGGTCGTGCGATTGTTGGTTCAACAGTTCCTTCGCGCGGTGCGTTCGTGTGGCGAGGTGAATCATGGTTGTGACCGTCGATTCGCGTGTCAGGAGAAAAGGCAACCCAGCGGCCTCAGGACCGATCCTCTTTAGCGATAAACCATGCGGATCGATCTTGAAACGCCCAGTAAGCCCTGTCTCCGCTTCCATGCCAATTTTAGTTTGTAAGACTGAGTACCGTCGTTCATCGTTGCATATCGAGGCACTATGATCCGGGAGTTTATATTCGAGGCATACTTCATTGACAATCGCGTACGTTGCAGTGAGGTACGAGTCCTTGAGCAAATCGGCCCAGTCGTTGTTCCTGGGATCGATATTAATAATGTTTTCATTGTCTTGGTGCAGGAACGCCGCCTGGAATCCTGATTTATTGCATCCAGTGCCGTCAAGCACATCCAGGACGGAAGATATGAGGCGTCCCACAAGCGCCCGATGAGCGACATGCTGTCTCCAAAAGCTGAAGACTGCGGCTTCAGACTCCGTCTGGAGTGCTTTCTTGAAATCTTTTCCCCAACTTGTTGCTTGCCATCCAGGAATCTGGCGCTCAAGCAGGCCTTGTATGGGATTCATAAGGAGTATCTGTTTCAGGGACACTCTCCTGGCATTTCCAGTACAGTTGCTGATCTCGACGCCAAAGTAGTTATTCAGGATGCCAGGGTTCGCAGACTCAGGGCTTGAGCTCCATTTTTGCCAAGCATGCTCCTTGATTGTGGTTTCCGGGACTCTTTTTGCCTTGCCCTTGATCTGGAGCATAACGAATTTCGGCGCTGCTAATTCTAGGGACACTGCTACGCCGTCAAAACTCCATGTTGAAGGCTTCGGCCCAGCTGCATATATAGCATTGCCATAATTCATTTCATACTCTGTCATGTTGAATGTGCAGTCTGGCTTGACTGTCATCTCGGTGCCAATCAGGAGTTTATCGTCCACTGATATGGTTGGATCCTTGGAGCGCCCGGAAAAGAGGCTAGAGAAGCGCCGTCGCTGCTCCTCTGCCCAGCTGTACCAATGGCATTTGACATATCCATCTGAGGAGACAGGTTGCCTAGACAGAGGTCGGATGCATCCTTTGGAGACATTGTACTTCCTAACGCGGTGCGGCTTTTCGGCTGATGAGTCTTGGGGAATAGCTTCGGCATAGACGGGGCCCCAAATATCAGAGAGTGCGTCTATCGTCGTCAAGATCGACAGAGGTTCTTTGGAACCGCCCTGCTGTAGTTGCCGTTGAGGTGAGGTACTTCTACTTTGTACCTCAAAGACCCAAACCTCCCGCGCATCTAGAAACCCGTTCAAGCAGGCCAGGGTCTGCATATGGCACTGGAATCGGAAGCAACCATCTTTGTTGCAACTAAAGTTCGCGGTTTCGGCCTCGAAATCTTGGAAGTCGTTTCGGGACGTGTGCGATCCAGCGTAGCTGACCAGGCCGACGTCCAATAAGTATGCCATAGTGCGGGACGTTTCTATAGGATCCGATGAAGGAGGCTCATGGCCGATCAGACTCATAAATTCACCTGTCGCACGCTTGACTACCTCGGCAGTGCTCTCTCTAGCCTCATACCGAGCATTCGCAAGTGCTGTCCACATTGTAGAGGCAATACTGCCGAGCGCAGTCCTCGGGATTTTGACGATTTCGGCTATGTTTTTCGTGTCCCTCTGAATGAGGATGCTGAAAAACTCATGGCAGAACTTTTGTGCGACTAGAGAGTCAAAACTATCCACAACGGACTTAATAATTACGTAGGAATCCAGCAGACAAAGGACAGCTTCGCTATCAACAACGTCCACACCACCCCCGGCGTCCAGTAGGAGGTTATGTATCCATACAGGCTCTTCTTTTATCTTAAGAAGACGAAGCATTACATCCTCTGGTTCTGGTGTTTTCCAGGAAATCCCATTTTTCCGATACAGAGCTGAAGATGTCTTGACCTTCCTCTGAAGCGACTCTAAAGCGATATAGTGCGCCTGTGGATCAACGATATGTGTGTCCGCATCGAAACCGTCTCTATGAGCCAGATCGTTCCAATCGGAAATGATTCTTTCTGCCTCTGTAGAAGACGGATATGGGATCTCGGACGTTGGGAAGCTCCGAGTATTGACTTGACCTCGTAGCCGCAAGACGACATGAATAGTTGCTTCAGACTGGATTCTGTAGCGATCCAAGGTGAATCTGTCGTCGAGATGTTTGCCCGCAAATACTAGATGAAATTGGTCGGGGAGGACTCTTTCCCTCTCGAAAAATATTTCCTTGACTCGAGCCACAGTCTCGTTCTCTGCCACATCAAGTTCGAGTCTTTTGCCAGTCACTAATGACCATTATTAATGGTCCAATATTAGTCCCTGGTGTGCATTTGATTCGATGCTGGGGGGCAAACTGACAGGTTCTCAGGTACAGTTTCATCTTGAGGTATGAGTGATCGATCGCTTTGATAGACACGCCAACAAAGATAGATGAAAACGAAAACTCATGTATTTTGCAGCACTCCGGGACAGAATAACTCGTTTGTTCATCAGGAGGTAGGCAAACTACTTATTAGGCGCCTTACACTCAGCCTCACCTGCGCCCCGCCAAGACTACACATTTGCGTGCGGCAAATAGACCCGCCCCCCCTGCTCTGCTTCGCCCTGATTATGCTTGCGAGACGTGCATTTCTCAGTGCGTTATCCATAATAACAAAAGAGAGGCCAATGAACAATCAGGGGCTGTCCTGAGCTGAAGTAGGAGCTAACCCCTGGAAAGCAACAATCACAGTATCATCTCCACGATCCCCCCGCTCGAGACCTTGGAAAAATACCTTGAGTCCAATAGCCGTGCCACACTGTTCTCCTGCAAAGTTCAGCTCCTCGCATTCCTTCCCCTCTATATCGAAACCCCAGTATCCCCAAAGCGGACTTTCAGCTCCCCCTTCCGCCACAAAACGAATGGCTCCCAGACCCCCCGTCTCAGACAGCCATATTCGCAGTTTAGTCAGTTTTCTATCCCCTGGACGCCAGATCTCGTGCCGATAATGCGGTACTTTCCCGGTCTCCTCAGGGAGGCTCGTCTTCTCATCGCAGCACCGGCATATGGGGTCGTTGGAGAATCTGTCCGGTCCCACGACCATCTTCTCTCCATCCAGGTACGTGAACCGGATAGCTGCGATGGGAGGGATAGTGCATTTCGGGTTGCTGTGCACCAAAGTAACGCGCACCTCCGTGATTGGGCGATCGACATGGAGCGCGCTGACCACACACCCCTTGGACGGCACTGTCTTCGTTACTCTTAGCACAGACCAGGAAGCGCCCTCATGATATGTTCTTGAACCGTAAACGGGTCCGGTTTCAACCAGCCGAGCTAATGGCCTCTCAGGTTCCCAGCAGTAGCCGTTGCCGTCTTGTGCCAGGGGCTTGATCTCGTCCTGGCATATTGGCAACTCCGACGACCCGAAGGCACCGAAGACGTAGAGCAGATGCTTCGCGCCCAAGTTCTCGCACCATTCTCCGTATATGCCACACGGAGCAACTTTGGAGGCATCGGGGTCGCTTTCATCACCAAACGTTAGCGGCTGGTATCCAGATACTGAGACGCCCAACGAGAGACAACGACCGCGATTGGTGACGAACATCATCGCCAGCTGGCTTGGCCTAGTGACACAGATCTGTGTGATGTGCTCGCCACCCTTCCCATCAATGGACAGAGATTTCATCGCGTGGAAGGCTGAGCCTATTCTCCGGGTAGGCTGGTTTTGAAAATGGACTTCGAATCTGCCAAGCTGGCTGTCAACAGAGATCCCGGTGATATCGGCTTGCTCTTCCGCAGATGCACCTAGCATCAGCCACTCGGTAGGATAGTTATATCCCATGTGGGACCATGACAAGTTCAGGGTGTTCTGGGACATGTGGACGTTCCTTGGCGGTAGGTCACCGGCCCAGAGGCGGTGAGTAGTGTCATAGCCGCCTGCCCATCTGTCGGTCACACGTGAGCAGTCTCCCATGTTCGTCAGTGGCTGCTCAAGAAGACCCATGTGCGTCAAGCTATGATCGTCTTCACGATAGAACTTGAATCCAACAATGAAGTGATTCTTTGTTGCATGAATGAGTCGATGGGCGTCTGCTCTACTAGCACCAAGTTTCACAGGCTCTTGCTTCGCAAAGAGAATCTCTACTCCAAGAAGATGTGGCTTGCGAGCTCCGTTCTCATCCAATACTAGGCTGCTCTTGAAGACGAAACCTGTGATCCAGTCATCATCCGGGACAGGGACGGTATCCAACATATCCGACCCAATCGTCTGCTTCCAAGCCATGAGTTTGCTTTCATCTCTGAACGCACTGATATTATGGAAAAAGCGGCGGTCTTCAGACCAGGAAATCAACAAAAGGGGTCGTGCCGTGGTAATCTCGAAGTAGTTGTCCAGAAGCGTCATCATTTCTCGGTTCATCCCAGCCCTGTAACGACTACCGATAGTAGTTGAAGAATTGAACAATACATTCTTCAGAACTGGGGCCTCCGGGGTGCCCCATGCATCATTCTTAGCTGAAAAATCGACGTAAGCCTCGGCAATCACGGGGCAGGTTATTTCCCACATTCGCCGCCTGTTGCAAAGACCGTGAAATTTGTTCTTCCTTTGGGATTCGGGTCTGCTGCCCCAATACAGCTTATGATAAACCTTTTTCCAATCCACATCAGTTATTTGCGAATCGGTGGGCTCCGGGAAGTCCCAAAGCCACGGCATGTTGGTTTTCAGCTGCCTCCGCCAAAAGCCGTTGCCGAGCTGCACATTTGCAACTACCGGAGAAGCTTTACGAAGGCTAAAGACGTCAGTCATCGATTGGCAGAGAGACATCAGCACCAAGATAACATCAGCGGGGAGCCGATCAAATGGGTCGCCCTCGGTGTTGTATGTTCGGGGCGACTTGATGTCACTCGTATCCCGCGTAGGAAGTTGGTTGTAGAATTCAGGCAGCCCTTTGACCTCTACCGGGTCGCAGACAAAATGCTCGCTACCCGGTTTCGGCCACCAATACTGGTCCATGTGTTCTCGGATGTCGCCATACTCAATGTCCAGGGCTGGTGCCCCGTCACCTTCTTCCGCCAGACTCTTCAGGGATTCGAGGAATACTTCTTTGTTGAGCTCCGAGACACCCAAATACTTGCAGAGGACCTCCTTGCAACGCGTATGGAAAGGGGCACAAAACGGATCGTCTACTCCATCGGTGTAATATCTTTACATTCGGGTAAGGGTTAATATGCTGTATAGCCAGGAGAGTTCAGAGGATAGTAAGGGAGGGGTCCAATTCCAAGCATGAATTTCACAATGCGTGGAACTTCGATATGTGATTTGGTGTCTGATAGCTCTTGTAGGAGGAGAAAACTTACACTTTGATGTTCCCATCCTCTCCATCGCAACCCTCTAAATCCAAGATCGCGGGGTCGGGGTTCTCCCCGATCTGGTAGGACACGGAGCCATATTCTTCGGCGCACGCGAGGCCCGAAAGCCAAACCCTGGGAGAATTAGATATTAAGAAGCCAGACGGGATCCCGGCTCAGGGGGGCAATTACTTTGAATCCGAGGCGGTGGCAGGGTTCTCCCCAATGAGGCGGCAGTCCTGGAGCCAGTCCAGGTCCGGATCCGTGCTATCAGCGAACACTTCTCGGTCGTAGGCAGTGTCCGGGCTATCATCAGCATCCCACGAGATTCTGCTTATGGGCCCTCCACAGAGAGCGCAGTAGACGTCCCAGCCTCCCATGATGTGCTCCTAAAGTGGTGGGCGGTGTCTGGCTCTGGTTGAATCTCTGGACTATTGCTGTAGTTGAGAACTCAAGGCATGGATCTCCCCAAATTTGAGAGTTGAAGAAGTGTTGTTGCATCAACTTAATAAATAACCAAGCAAAGTTAACGCACAGCAGGCAGCAGTCAGCAAGGCGTCGATTAGTTCACTTAACGCTTGTGCTTTTATCAGACCTCCACTCGCAGTGCAACGAAGGATCAAAATATCTATATAACCCTGGAAAAAAGCCAAGGGAATATGGGACGAGAAGAGCCTAGATGGGCAGATTGGTGGGGCGGGGCGTAAACCAAACCTGTCTAGCAGCGTAAAGAGTAAGCTGATCCCACATAGAGAAGCATTAACGAACGCACCTCGTATTCTATCCGATGCATGATTCACGCAGCCGTTATTTCTATCACGCACCAAACACGTTCGTTGACTAAAGAAATCCATCTCTCCTTTGTTCATTAATGTATCCTTTCAATTTCTGTTTTGATAGAGAAAATGTCATACCAGAACGAATGCCTTAACCACCAATAATCGGTTTTGCCAGAGAATGCTTACCATAAAATCTTCTTGTTGGTAATTTCTCAACGTCAACTATGTCCCATCACCTGCTAGCGAGGAAGAGCAAAGATAAAGTTGGCAGAAGATGCCAAGCCACCACTGGGTGGAAAGCAGGTAGTTACCATTCTCGGAGGTCTCTAACAGGGGTCACCAGGCTTCAAGAAGTGTCTAATGCCTCATCCAGTTTTCGAGAATGTATTCGTTGTGTTTCTTTAATTTTGACTTCTATCTGTACTCAACCTACTCCTTCTCTCCATCTCGCCTGCAATTGCGTCTTGATCAGTTACCACCAAAAAAGGTGCAGCTTCAGATAGGTAGCCCGCAATGATTCCCTTTCCTAAGCTATGAAACGAGCGTTGTTATAGAGTACCTTATTATTATAAGCTACGAACTAAGATAATAGCTTGTAAGCAGCATTTAATATTTATCTGCGTATATAGGAAGAAGATACTTGTAGGTTTAGGGACTCTAGACCCGCAGCTGACCGCCCGATTAGTCACGCAAGAAATCGCCATTGGAAGTTACAATTACATTTTAAATTCTCAATAATATCAATGAATTCTCAAGTATTATTGTTCAATCCTGCTAATCTGAGACTTCTTGGTGATGCAAATGATCTCAAGACGCAGTTGATGTCCCGGAAATAAAGTGTATAGGAACCAACAGCATGCACGGTCGAGAACCAAACCAGCAGACAGAACCCCTTTTCACGCATTCGAGACTACGAAGTACGTAACCTAAGAGGGAATGCAAATCCTTATATCGGCTATGCACCAATAATCGGATCCAAGGAGGTCTAGTGTTTCTTCTTTGGCACTACCGTTATCAAGATGCACTAGCGGATGGTTAGCCTCGTGAGAAATGCTTGGTACCAGCGACTAGCGATCGCAAACGGGGCCCTGAGATGCCCCTGAGTCTAGATATATTTTAATTGAATGCCAGATTGACTGACCGAGTCTTGATTCTCGTTGTCTCTGAATTGATACTGTGCACCCAAGGCACCTGCTGCTGACGCGACGAGATGGGAGAACAGATGACCGCTGCTGTCTCGCTGCGCCTCGGAGATCGGATGGGCTCGACCAGGTCAATCCTGGGTGGAATGTCTCGATCGGCAAGCCCTGACCCAGACTCGCCTAGTTGCATGGATGGTGGTCTGGGTCGGGCACCACAGAACCGACGGCTCGTCCCATTCATTGGCCCATGCTGCTGCTCTCCACCAAGCTGAGAGTTTGGGAATCTGCACGCAGCCACGGCGAGCTCGTCAGCGTCTGGCCTGCCTGCTAGCCGAATTGGACGCAGCGTACCGTACCCATGGGCCTACGAGTGCTGGCTCCCACAATGGCCCTGCCCAGACCCTGTGGCCCCTCCTCAGACGGCTCGGTTTGGAGGTCGCTAGCTGGACATTCCAATTTCAATGCCTGCCGGTTTTCGATAGTTTTGTGGGGGGGATGGCCGCCGACGCTCGTATTATGCAATGATGTTCGCTGCTGTACAAGCCTCATCAAGCTGTAAGCAGATGGATAACCCTCAATAATAAAGTTGAATTCCCCTCTGGAAATAGCTTTGTGACGCACTCGATGCCCTCCTCACCATCTCCCAGACCGTTGGTGCTGTCATTCGTTCATTTGCATCCCAAACCCTAACCGACCTCACTACTTACCAAAGCAATCGCAGCTTCCACTCGATTGCCCAACGCTCTCTCTTTATCACTGACTTATTTTGCTCATCTATTTTATCGATTCTCAAGATGCAGGTCAAGGAGCTGGGGGAGTCGCTCTCGCGACACGGGGCCAAGATCTCCCGACATCAATACCGCCTCTTTGCCGCCGTCGCCGCCGCCCTCATGGTGCTCATCGTCGTCTGGACGCTTCACGGATCCGCCTTGGACACATTCAACCTACGCCCAGCTCACGAGGCCAGCCACGGCCAGGCCCCGCCGACGACCGATGTGCACGACGAGGCCGACGCCCATTTCCAAGGCACCGAGGAGGATAACGACGAGGCGCTGAAGCACGGCGTAGGAGACGATGCGCATCACGATATCCCTCACATCGACCATATCCCCGAGAACGTCACGGTCGTCCCGGAGCTGATCAAGATCCCTAAGAGGATCTGGCAGATCGGACTGCCCAAGAGCCCGCTGGATACCGAGTCTCACATCGACCCCAAGGGCCTCCAGGATACCCCTACATGGCTGGCCTTGAACCCAGACTACGAGTAGTAAGTCACGCTGCGGTGCATTTGTCAAACGGGTTACCCAAGACGCCATACTAACCACCAACCGCGAAATCCAGCACCATCGTAGGCAAAGCCGGCGGCGAAGAACTCCTCGACACGCACTACGCCGACCAGCCGAAGGTCCGCGAGATCTACCACGGCCTCGCCAACGTGGGCATGAAGTCGGACCTCCTGCGCTACCTGATCCTCGAGACCATCGGGGGCACCTACACCGACACGGACACCATCGCCCTCCGGCCCATCGACCGCTGGGTCCCGCCGCAGTTCGAGGGCAAGGTCGGCCTCATCGTCGGTATCGAGTTCGACCAGCGCGACAACGGGCCCTGGGCCGACATCCTGCACCCCCTCCAGTTCTGCCAGTGGACCATCGCCGCCGCGCCGGGACACCCCGTCTTCCGCAGGATGATCGACCGCGTCCTCTGGTCCGTCCAGAAGATGGCCGTCGAGCACCAGTCCCCCGTCTCGCTCCTCATGCCCAGCAGCACCGAGGTCATGAACTCGACGGGACCCGCCGCCTGGACCGACGTCGTCTTCGACCAGCTCAAGGAGTTCGACCCGTCGCTCAACTCGGTCCGCGACCTGGCGTACATGACGGAGCCGAGGCTGATTGGCGACGTGCTCGTGCTGACGATTGACGGCTTCGGGATGGGGCAGCCTCACTCGGCCAGCACCAACGACGGGAGCATCCCCGAGGCGGCGTTGATGAGGCACTTGTTCAGGGGGTCTTGGAGAGGTTAAAAGGACCATTTATCTTATAAATGGGTTCCATTTCTAATATGCGGACGAAGTGCACTCCGACGATCGCCTGGCAGATCAGTTGACGAGATTTGATTGCGTTCAGGGCTCTTTGGTCATCTGACGGCGCCCAGAACCACCGGTGGGACGCTGATCGCTCTCGCCTGGCAGGCTTCTTCGTCTCGCTGACCCTCTCCAATTCAACTGTGCAAGGGCCTCAGCCGCAGACATTGCGACAGTCCGCGCAGCTCTGGCCGGGTGCTCGACTCACCAGAGCGTCATTCGCCTGTCTCGGTGGACGCGCAGAAATGGCCAATTGAGGTTGTAAAAACAAAAGAATATTTGAATCTCGCGATACATTTTTTACGAGAATAATGTCCAGCGTTTTGGTTTTAGGGGGGGAGGGGCGTTCAATATTTTGGGAGGTTTCATGTGTACGGGGGGTGCTGGGAAATATTACCCCCTTCTTGGCCGAGCACGGTTCAAAGCACGGCGATGCGAGCATTTATACATGTATTATTTGACAGAAAGGCCTTGGATAGCCTCTTAATATACTTTTGCAGCACGTATTAATGCTGAAGATTTCATATCAGGCTCGGAGGATTAGACTTAAGCGTGACTTAAATGGTGACTATTTTTAGTGAAACAGGAGGTACTTTAGTGGCTGCCAGCTGTAGACCAACGTGCATTAGGGAGAAGTGCCAGTAATGTTCCGAGCCTGTCTGTAGTGCTTCGCGGCTCAGGAGAAAGCCAAGATACTCTCCCCCCTAATGACATCAACCCAAGTCCACACGAGCTGTCCAAAGTCCTACAGCGGATTCCACTGCATCGCCGGCATGCACAGCTCGAGTCTCACGGCGTAGTGCTTATTGTCTGGTCATTGCAAGGGGCTTGTGGCGGCCACCATGCGAGAGGGAGGGGAGGAGGCTGTTTTAATTTAAACACGGATCACCTCATGTGCCGAAAAATCGAGATTCCTCATCATCAAACCACCACGCTTCTCCCCGTGAGGCGAAGCGAACGCCAATCAATCTCTCCCACGGTTCAAAGAGAAGCCTCGCCCATTCATCAGGGGTCCCATCACGACAAAGCAAAGATGGTCATGACGAAGCTGCAGTGCGGGCCGGACCTGGGCATCGCGCTGGAGGGCGACCGGACGGCGTTCCGCCTCGGCGAGACGATCCGCGGCTGTGTGTCCCGCGAGACGCCCACGGTGCTGCCCGACGTGGTCGTCAAGGTCGCCGTGCTGGGGCGCTACGTCGACCGCTCGGTGCGCGACGACTCGGGCGCGTGCCACGGCCGCTTCGACCTCGTCGACGGCAAGAGGCGGGCGCAGACGCTCTTCAGCGGCACCCTCCACATCCCCCCGGGCACCGGCGCGAGGCGGGAGTGGCCGTTCGCCATCAGGATGCCGACGTACGCCGACCCCAGCCCGGGCCACGGCGTGTTGTTGTCGTCGTCGTCGACGCGCGACGCGGAGCAGCAGCAGCAGCAGCAGCAGCAGCCCGTCAAGACGCAGAGGCTGCCGCCGAGCCTGTGGGTGCGGTCGGCGCTCAAGGAGAGCTACGTCGAGTACTTCATCCAGGCGGACCTGTGGTACCGCTCCCAGGGGTCGTGGGACAGCGTCGCCGCCACGCTGCCCATCTACGTGCCCTTCATCCGGCCTGGCGCGCCGCTGGCCGACTACCAGGTGGTGGTCATGGGCGTCCACATGTCCGCGTCGTCACACCGGTTCCTGCCCGGCATGGGCGACGCCAAGCTGTCGACCTCGCAGAAGATGAAGAAGGCCTTCAACATATCCTCGGCCCCGACGTGCGGGCTCAAGCTCCAGATCGGCTTCCCGTCGTACATCCAGATAGGTAACCCGGGCCTGGTGCCGTTCCAGGCGCGGCTGGTGCCGCAGTGGGAGAGGACCAGCGAGGAGATCCTCAACATCCCGCAGCGCGCCAGGCTGACGGGCATATCGCTCGAGATACTGTCGCACTGCCGGATAACGGAGCAGAGGGGGTCGTCCACGGTGGACACCGAGTACAAGTTCAGCATGGACCTGTTCGGCGAGAAGTGCGCCCTGCCCCCTCCGCCGGACCTCGAGATCCCATGCTCCGGGGCGGTGCCCCCCATCGACATCGGCCAGTGCTGCGGGCTCGCGTCGCCCCCCGACGGGAGCTTCGTCGTGCGCGACGGCATGCTCACCCCGAGCTTCAACACCTTCAACATCGCCCTCGCCCACAGCCTGGCCTGGACCCTCAGGTTCGAGATCGCCGGCGAGGTGCTGGTGGCCGAGGGCCTGCAGGCGCTGACCGTCCTGCCGCCCTGCGATCCCGCGGAGAAGAACCTCCCCGTCCCGCCGCCCAAGAGGCAGAGGCGGTCGTACTTCGAGATGGCTCCCCCAAGATACGACGCCGGCGACATGCCTCCTGCTTTTTCGGAGATAGGAGGCGCCGACACCAGGGAGGGGAGGATTTCAGAAGAGGAGACCTCGAGTCAATTTCCGACTCTGACGACGGAATGAACTTTTTTAATAATGTCTAATACCCCCCCAGCATAGCATTGATATGAATTGAGCGCATTGATTTGTATTTTATTTATTTATTTCCCAATCGATTGAGATGAATTATCGAATAAATCATCATCGTAGTTTGGACTGATGCCGCCTTGCGTGACCTCAGCTTGCTTCCTGTTGAAAGTTGTACATTTGGTGTCGGTATAGGGTAGGGGGTAGTGTTTGAGTCAAGCACTAGACGACGATGCAATGATTTGATTAACATTATATCACATGAATAAAAGACTACCAACCGATCTTCCATCTCAAGATGAAGTCTCGGGCACCTTGCAAGTGCCTTTACTCCAATGACACGTATTGAACTCGAATCCAAGCTTGAATTTCCGTTTCGTGATTAACTGTTACTGGTACGTTCGGAGGGTCACACACGAACAAGGTGAGCTTTTGTCAATCGGAATTTCAAAGAACCATGAAAGACATTGGCAGGGAATTTTCAGTACTACAAGGAAACCTTAGACACCACGATATTAAATAGAATAAGTAATTGCTGTCCAAATTGCTATTAATCATCTTAGCCAAACTCCGAGGAGGCAGGAGAGGGAAAGGGATTCCCTCAATCTTGGTTCCCCGGAAAGGTTTTTGTGCAAGGCATAACTCCATCATATATGTGCATGATATCTACCTACCATACCTCCATAGTTCGCCCAGATCCATGGTCTTCTCGACCCCTCTTGCTTCCATGTCCCCAATTATGTCTTGTTCACTCCTAAGATAAACGCACAGAGTACCAGACATAACCCAGTCTTCAAGCGTTAGCGAAATTCAAGGACGGTGTATGAAAAGTTTTACTAGTACTACTGATCTCGACGGGTGTGTGGTACGAGAAGAAGCACAGCCAACATTGGGCAGGTCTCGGGCCTTTCAGCTGCCCAGACGCTATTCCAGCCACCCATATATTGGACAATGCTAGCAGCTGGTCTAGGAAAGTATTCAATAGAATGATCGACGCGTAATGGGCGGGTTTGAGGAAGCGAGGCAGCTCAGCTCGGCAACGTGCATCGGGGCTGGCGGAATGTGGCAGATGCCATGCAAGAAGTCCGAGAGTCGCTTTCCGTCGCCCCTTGCAATAAAACCATAAATTTGATGTTGGTCTAGATCGAATCACAAGGCCTCTGGGGTCTGGACGAGAGCTGGCCACGGAGGTTGGTCGAGATCATCAAAAGGACGGTCGTTGGTCATGGAAAAGACAATATCACTAGGATGGCATAGGTAACATAAGTTGTCTATTCTTGTTCCATATTAGGGCGTCTACGGCGAGAAACGTGCTTGTTGGCGCCCCCTCTTTCAGCACGTACAGCGGGGACAGGTTGGTGCAAACATCAGCGCATATTCTACTCCGCGGCTGCCGGAACACTCCCATATTGGCCAGGGAGCATGGCAGAACAGCGCTGAACTGTACCTGCATGCTGTGTAGCAGCCAAATCACACCTCTGCATGGGTCTTCATGTCCCCTTTCTCCCGCCCAGCCATCTCAGAAAAAGAAAAAGAATTGCCCGAGAGCCACACCAGGGAGCGAGTCAGACGGGGCTGAAACGGGACGAGAAAAAGTGTCACCTTTTTTCTTACAGCAATGGGCTTGAGCACTTGCGAGGTCGGTGAATAGCTAAATGGTCCTGTGCCTGCTTAGTGTTCTCGGTCCCAGTCGTAGATCCTAGTGCTTAGTCGTCTGGTCCGGACCAGTCCAAGGCCAACACTATCAAGGGGAGAGGTGGGGATAGGCAGGCCTTTTCTCGAAAAGCCGATGCTGGTATCCCTGTCGGTGTTGTTGGATCAAGGCATGTGCCGTAGGCTCTGCCGTGGAGTGGGTGAGGGAACTTGGCGGAGAGAATGAAAAACTTTGCCCTGCATTTGGTGGGTGTGGTAACCCCAGCGCTAAGGCAGGGGAAAGGGCGCGGGATGTGACCATTTGTAGAAAAAAGAAAGCAAACCAGCCAACAAGGCAGCAATGGAAAAAAAAACTCCGGGGTCTGAGTGCGTAGCCGAACGGCGCCATGCCACGGTGGGAGGGTCGTTGACTGGGCCTGCTCACCCCAAGCAAGAAAAGGCAGAAGCAGCGGATGCCTCAGCAGACGCAGAGCGAGAATAGGCCCCCTCAGTTACCGCGCGGTCCTACTAAAGCGATTATTGGAAGTGGCTGACTGGTCTGTCGGTGACAAAGTGTGCAGTGCGTTAGGGCCATGCAGCCATGTGTAGCTAGGCGAGACACTATTGTTTAGTCGAACCGTCTAGGAGTGCGCCATGCAAGGGGATATAGGCTTATATTGAATAAGATGCAAGCTACCTTGAAATAGTCTACATAGTCCTCTGACCAGGCGTTTGCTGTGGGTTTTGGGCGGACGTAAGCCGTAAGCCTGCGAAAGGATCACAGGTCTCCAAGCCTGAGACCCAGCACCAAACCCCCGTGGAGAGTCTCACAGCTAACATAACATGCATTTGAAAACAGCCGAGTTTCATGTCAGCTGTTGCTTTTTCCCAGGTTGGCAGGTGAAGTTTTCGCTTCCCGCATGTGGCCACCTGGTGCCTGAATGAGGGATATAAAACCAAACCTAACAAGGTATGAAACAGGGGCACGGTCGGTAGCCGCCGAGGATGGATACACTCTAATCCATGAAAGGACTGGTCAGGTTCGGGATCATGGCAAGCAGGGATACACGATCCCCCAGGATCTTTGAGACGATCCTAAAGTCTCCATCAACTCGTCCCGTCCTGGCCGGATGTCCCCTCTGTGTGCCCGGCAGATTCTACCATATTCTGCCAAAGGATGGGCTGGACGGACAATTTCGCCTCCTAAGAGCGAGATGGAGCCAAAAATACATCTGCCTACAACAAACGTTGCTTATGGAAGGACAAAATGAGCTTCTCCATGCATTGTTCAGTACAATTTGCTACCGGAATGGGCTGTCAACCTGCAAATAGCACACCATATGGGACATGGATGCCACCCCTCCCCCCTCCCATGGCTTGCAGCCGGCGTCTGGGTGGCAGTCTCGGGCTTTTGAGCGCTTACACAAACGCAATTGTCTCCAGTTCTGTCTCATCAGCCAGTCTGCTCATTGGCCCCAGGCACGGGCCGGCTCTCTTGACGTTGGTTAGTGCACATGGTGCGTCTATGAAGCGACATTAAGGAGTCGAGGCTGAAACCAGCCACATGGCCACCAACAGTGACGGGCTGGGTCCCGCTGAATTGAATTTGAATCGTACCATGCAAGAGCAAGACTGATTAGCCCTAAGGGGCCATTGCGAGAGACCAGGACAGGGTTCAAGATGCCCAGGCCAAGCTCCCCTCCTGCAGAGTGGGAGCCACTCTGGAGCAGCTGGTCAGACCGTGAGCTGGGCTGGGACAAAGATATAAGACGCCGTGTGCACCCTCACCATCGCCAGACTCTCTTTCCAACAACATCTTTTGTTCCGCAACAGTCCTTCCTTGCAGGCAAGTCTTTCCTTCAAAAGCTGATCACTCCTTCAGAGAGTTTCTACATTCCTTGAACATCAACAAGCAACACATTCACATTCCTTGAACACCTGCGAAACAAGCACACACAAGCACACACACTCCTTCTATCTACACTCCTTCTATCTGCATCAAGTTCAGATCAACTACCATGCCTGCCTCATCTTCCCTGTCGCTGGCTTCGGCTTTCTTCGTGGCTCTGGCAGCCAGCTCCCCTCTCCGCCGATCCCTTGAAACACGCAGCGTCTGGCAACCTGCTGCCGGCACCTCGTGGGACATCCAGCTCTCCGAGGAGCTCAAGGTCGACCTCAACAACCCCACGCTGCCCAACAACGTCGAGGTCATCGACATCGACCTCTTCACCAACACGGGCAACAGCTTCATCAGCCCCGATGACTCCAAGATCAAGGCCCTGCACGCCGCCAACAAGAAGGTCATCTGCTACTTCAGCGCCGGCTCCTACGAGCCCTACCGCCCTGACAGCAGCCGGTTCACCTCCGCTGACCAGGGTTCCGGCCTCGATGGCTGGCCCGACGAGACTTGGCTGAACCTCAAGAGTGAGAATGTGGCCAACATCATGCGCGACCGTATTGCTCTGGCAGCAAAGGTCGGCTGCGACGGTGTCGACCCTGACAACATGGATGGCTATGTAAGTCTCTTCTTCCTCTTCGTTTCATCTTTCGCCCGTTACTTATACAAGTGAATAGGACAACGAGAACGGCATCGGTCTTACCAAGCAGGACACCATCGACTACTTCAAGAACGTCCTTGCCCCCGCTGCCCAGCAGCACGGCCTGGCCCTCGGTCTCAAGAACTCCATCAACATCATCCCCGACGTCCTCCCCATCACCCAGTTCGTCGTCACCGAGCAGTGCGCCGAGTACAGCGAGTGCGACCAGTACCAGCCCTACATCACCGCCGGCAAGCCCGTCTTCCAGATCGAGTACCCCCTGGGCGACAGCAGCTCCGCCGCCAAGTCCCTCGCCGCCGACAGCACCAGCACCTTCTGCGCCGCCCAGGCCAACGGCTTCAGCACCGTCCTGAAGCTGCTGAGCCTGAACAGCTGGGTCCAGACGTGCGGCGGCGAGGTCACGGTCCCTGCTACCACCACCGCCCCGGCTCCCTCCGCCACCACCACTGCCGTCAGCCAAACCTCTCAGGCTCCCACCACCACAACCAAGGAGGCTGCCGTCCCTACCACCACCACTTCCACCGCTGCTTCCGCTACTGCCACCTCCGACTCCGGCAGTGATGATGACGAGGAGGATGACTCCGGCAGCGACAGCGGCCGTGGCAAGGGCAAGGGCCGAGGTGGCCGCCGCAACCGCAAGACCTACAGCCGCCAGTAGACAAACCAAGCAAGTTTGACACTGCTGGTTTTCAGCTCCCTTTGAGAGGGAGCAACGACAGTGCCTAACGACAATGAGATTTTACGACCCTTCAACTGATGCCTCCTGCCTCACGACAGGAAAACTTTTTGGAAAAAAAATGAAGAAAATGGACTTTTTGATTTCATGTAGCCGTGCTGTCCCTTGACATGCACACTTTCTAGAGCCTTGATATTCTTTTTAGGATTGGAATGATTACATGAATTATCTAACTTTGCCGAGTGCCCACCATGAAGATGTGTTCGATTAATGAGTCGTGAATGTCCGTCAAGAGCCCCAACTCCCTACTCCCCACGCTATCACCATTTCTAAACATAGTCACTAAAGTCAGTATTTTTCTTCTTCTTTCAGTCTGCTCGCCAAACGTCCAACGGCTCGCTAGACCACTTAGCCCCCGTTAGCACGGACCCCAATTCGCCCGCTTACCCCTTGGCCGGCGAAGGGCTGGATCATGCACGGATCTCTCCGGGTAGACTGCTAGTGGTCTTAGAGCCCTCGCTATTGGAGTCTTCCCCTGCATCTCTGCGGGACTTCCAGTCTGCAGGCAGCCAGAGGCTGACGATGACTGCAGGTGAGGTGGTTTGTTCCTCACCGTAAGGCTCCATGGCGGTGCAACGTCTTCTACATATTGCTTCCCCCACCCTACTAAACTTCCCAATGGCTATCCATCGGCACGGCTATCCTGGCTCTTAGAGGCTGAACCGGTAGCTGCTACGCCACTCGGAACCTGTGCAGGCAGGTGGTGTTTCTCGATAGCTCCAGTTCCCCCCAGTACATGTCAGTGTTTCGACCCGGCTTGCACCAACTTGTTGTGTTCAAGTTCAGGAACCCCTGCATGACGCATGCTTTCCCTACCTGAGTAATCGCTGACATTTACCCCGGCCCCTGAGCGATATTGGGTAGTGGCATCAATAGCTCCTCAAAGCCAAAACGTGGGCGCTGAGGCAACTTCCGATCCAATCATTGCCTCCCGTCATGCCCGGGCGACGTGCAGATCAGTGTCACCTTGGCTTCAAAACAACACAATATCAGGTATGATCGTCACCACAGATGTGATCAAGACCAAGGTAACTCGGTGTTGCATGATTCATAGTGATGAAAGGCCTCCTGTCTCGACTCGTCTTGACGCTTCCTCCCCCCTTTCTGAACCGTCCGCCTCTTTTCTTTTTCTATGCGCATGTCAAAACTTGGTAGGCTAAGGGGTGGGTGTAGCTGTCACCTAGTTTCCTCTTGCCTAGCCGAGCCCTAATGCATGCGTTACCGATCCCATCACACTCGGGCATCAACGCACAAGCCAGGGGTTGTTTTATATTTCGGACGAAGTTCGATCGGCCCTTCAGATCGGTATTAATCATGGAGCTTGCTTAGCAATCGCAGTGACCTTCTTCCTCCGCGCGAGTAATGCTTGTTCTGCTATAGCAACTCCACTCATCATGGATAGGAGGCATCGTCTTGATGGTATTGGGTATGGTCTTCTGGTGTTTGCTCGGGGATATCGCCAAATGATAGTTGTCGCTCGGGTACAGCTAGCCATAATAAAGTTAAAAGGATATAAAACCCAACAGCCGGGAATACCTTCGCTGAAAGGAGAGGCTGCGCAATATATCTACATGTAACTAACGAATATAATGGGAGGAGATGTGTGGCCAGGCTGTCAAAGATATGTATACGTACAATTTTACAAGGTGAGCCCTCAATCAAGCTGCAATTAAGCTGGATAAAACATCCAGCCACGCATTACCATGGCCAAGCGCCTTTATTGTTATTATTTTCTCGTAGGAGTTTAAAATCACCTAAGAAGACTTGGCAGCAGCAATCACTTTATAGTCAAAGGATGCTGGTTCTTCTGGGAGTAGAATATTCGAGCATCTTAAAGGTTAATTGCTAGAACTTTTAAGAACCTCCACAATCATTTCTTGCGTCTAGAAGCTGAATGATTTGATAGGCAATGTGGGATTTGTTGTGATATAACCACGCTCCAACCTATATATTCAAGATATCCAAAGAGCCAAGAGCTTAATTGCAACGCCATAGCAAAAACCGGAACTCGATAAACTTTTTATAGCCAAGATCCAGATGAGATCGCAACCGGGATCACCATTAGTCAGACCCTTGCCTGAGTGCCGGACCGCACACTGCCGTTAAACCTCGGCTCTTTCAAATGGCGAACTATATCGGCCAACGCCGAGAATAATATAAAACCAGGCATTGTCCCACTAATTTGTTATAACCTGCCTTGAAGAGACATCACCTAATTCTGCGTAGAATACAATGTCCACTTCGCCCGACGTGAACCATTTCCTCTCGATCCCATGGTGTGCATCACTCATCGGGGATGTAGACAAACTGGACTACATCTACCCCCAGGATCAGAATCCCGATATAGATTTATTCCACCGGCGGCTTCTGAGAGTGGACAATGGCATGAGCGCCTTCATGATATTCGCCAAGCGCGCCCCTCAGCCCAAAGACGGATCCGATCTCGGGATATTCGCTATCCGGGAAATGACCCTCTTGGCGGACGTCGGCGTCAATGTGAGCGGGTGGGAGGGTGTCTGCCACGGCGGGTTCACATCGTTTCTGTTCGACATGGCCGGGGGCTGGCTTGGTCAGTCGAATGTGACGCAGGCCATTGCAGACGGGAGGATATTGCCAACCAGCGGATCAATGACGAAGAAGCTCGAGGTGGAGTACTTGGCACCGGTGCTCGTGCCCAGAGTCCTGATGTTGAAGTCGAGGATTATCAAGATCGAGGGGCGCAATATTGACATAGGGATAACTCTTGAGGATGAGCGGGGGAAGGTTCTTAGCCGTGGAAGGATGGCCTCGATTATTACCCAACCCAAAAAGGCCAGGATCTGAAGCTCTTCGTGTTCATGCTGAGGCGATGATACCCGATTCTGGAATCATTATTCACATAAATATTACTTTGCACACCCCTACATTTGGCTCTCTTTACCTGAGCATTCAGTATGCTGGCAAGACACATCACGCGCATGCATCTCCCATAAATCACACCCTTCATCAAATATACTAAGCATTCAAGTACATGGAGAAAAGCGACCAAATAAGAGCGAATGTAAAATCGAGTAAATCATAATCGAGGCTATAAATAAACCGTTTCCTTTATCTACATTCAGCGAGTTGCCCTTTGCCTTCCAACCGATTAACATCCATATTGTACCCCAGACAGCCGTTCAAAACGTGGCCAAAATAGAGAGGTTTTTGAGAATTTCCATCAGGAGATCTTTGCAGGTTGGTTCACTTAGGATAATTTCTCATGGTTGTAATTTGAACAGCTTCTGTATATGTGCTTGATATGTAGTGACTGTACGTAGTAACAACGACCCCAAACCCCAAAACCAAACGAGTGTGTTCAAACGATACAATTCTCAATAAATAAATGTCGCACAATAACACAATATTTCAGGATTAAACCTACAGTGAATGTAACAACCTGACCAGGCAGGCTGAAAGGCGGCGCGAAATAAGCGAGTGTCCTGTTCCAACTTTTCGACAATGACCCAAGAAGCGATTTGCAGAGCTCGTGCCATCTGCAAATGGTAGTAGGGTCTTGGTCCTTTTCTTTTCTTTCCGTCCGGGGAGGACAGAGAAGGGTCACCTCCTTATTCAGGCTTTGTCGGCTACCTGCTCAATTACCCCCTCGCATTTGACTCTCTGCCCTTGGAACCTCTCCGCAGGCCACCCCTGCATCGTTTGCTTTGCCTCCACAACGTCACCGCCCATGATCAGGGTATGTTCCAGCAAGCAGCTGTCATTCTTCATCGTTGCACCACTCAAGAGCCTGCTACCGGTTCGCAGGACGCAACGGTCTCCAATCTCCAACCTGTTCAGGTCAAACTTGCCCCGAGTGTTGATGTGGGCCACCACGCTGGCATCATCTACCACGACTCTATCCCCGAGGCTGATCAAGTCTGGTTCAGTGAAGACCAGACTCGGTCGCCCATTGGCAAACAGAGCACAGTCCTTGCCGATCTTGGCTCCCATGGCGCGGAAGTACATCACAGTCCAGTGAGTGCCAGTCAACATTCCCAGCACGCCCTTGCCACGGTAACACTGGCGCCGAAGCTTCTCGATAGATAGGAAGAGCTGCCATCGCTGGCAGTACGGAGACTTATCCCAGTCGTAGTTCCCAGGCATGCGCCGTCCAAGCAGGATCCATTTCGCAGCTATCACGATGGCCACGGCCAGCACCGCATGCAGTGTAGTGATGATCGCAATCACCACCCAGTTCAACAGGAAAATACCGAGCCAGTCGTACCAGAAGCTGACTTTAGGTACGAAGCGGCGCACAATCACGTCAACAATCTGCGCAGCTGTGATGCTGGGCACGTTCCAGAAGAATGATGCGAATACCGTGAGGAATGTTGAGTAGCAGAAGATGGCAAAATGCCCAAAAACGCGGTAGGGGGCAATCTTCATGTGAAATGCTCTGCCGAACGGAGAGGAATCGTTGGATGCCTCGCTTGAATCTCGCTCCGTCTCTGAATCCGAGCCGACATAACCCTGAGAGGTTTTATATGACTTCTTCGCGGAGTTTCTTCGCGTCTCCGCAAGGGTGTCGTCGCTACTCATGTGTTGCACCTGAGACCTTGGCTGCCTCCTCTGCTCAACATCTTCTTCCGGTTCTAATGTTGTTTCGCTGCCGTTTCGACTACGGCGAGAAGCTGAACGAAATCTTATGTTTGATTTCTCACGACCAGCTGCCAAGCAAACGGAATCACCTCCCTTGGATCCAACGTAGGTGCCATCTGAAGGGTAAAATGTCCCACGCTTCGTGAGTGCACCCGAGCCCATCACAGTTCTCTCCCCAACGTCAACACCAGGGAGAAGACAGACTCGGTCGGCAATCATCGCGCGATCGCGGACAGTGACTTTCTCAGACCCTGTTTTATCCGATGTGACGAGGTGCGATCTGGATCCAAACACGACGTCGTTCC